CAGTGTTGGAGCATTCACAACTTCTGGAGGCAATATAGTGGAAACATGGTAATACAGCCACAGTGTTCCACTGATTAATTGTTCTAACTGTCAGGAAATTTTTCCTTAGTTCTAAATTGCTTCTCTCCTTGATTAGTTTCCACCCATTGCTTCTGGTCCTGGCCTCAGGTGCTTTGGAGAATAGCTTAAACTCCCTCTTCTTTATGGTAACCCCTGAGATATTGGAATGCTGCTATCATGTCATCCCTAGTCCTTTTTTTCATCAAACTAGATATAACCAATTCTAGTAACTGTTTTTATATGTTTTAGCTTCCAGTCCCCTAATCATCTTTGTTGCTCTTCTCTGCACTCTTTCTTGAGTCTCCACATCTTTTTTACATCATGGCGACCAAAACTGGATGCAGTATTCCAAGTGCGGCTTTACACCAAGGCATTATAAAGTGGTATTAACATTGTTTGTATGCATGCATGCATGTAATAGGCTTAAAATCTCAAGTAAAATGCCAACAAAATCAAATAGCAATCTTCCATAGAATATATGATGAGCATCAGGAGATAATAACACAGACATATTTTGTACTTGATAACTATCAGGGAATAAGCCCTTCCTTGTCTCTCAGTGCCTGGAGATATCGTATTTTTCGGAGTATAAGACACACTTTTTTCCCTTTAAAAAAGAGGCTGAAAATCTGGGTACATCTTATATACTGAATACAGCATTTTTTGAATAGGCATGAATAGCCTGTAGGAGGCTTTCAGAGAGCTCCTGGGGGCTAGGGAGGGCAGAAATTAGTGAAAAACAGACCATTTTTTGCTCAATTTTGCCCTCCCAGTCCCCAGGAGCACTCTATAAGCCTCCTACAGGCTATGCATGCAATTCTTTTGGCAAAAAGGGCCATTTTTGGCTCATTTGGTGGGGACCCCCCCCCCCAGGATCACTCTGCAAGCCCCCTAAAGGCTATTCCTGCCTTGGGGGGGGATGTGCCCATTTTAGCAAAAACCGGCTTGTTTTGGGAGATCTGCAGAGTGCAAAAACTTTTTTTTAATTTGCCTCTTCAAAACCTTGGTGCGACTTATACTCCAAAAAATGCGGTAGGTTAGGCTTTACAAGATCAACAAGGTTGGAGTCATATGGATTTCAGGGATGACAATTCTATAGGGTAGGCACACATGCCTTGTCTCCTAGGCATGTCTCCTAGGTCCTACAAAATGGCATCGGTTTAAAGCTGGGACCTAGACCTCAACAATTCCTCCATATCTTATCAGTTAGAAGAAATCGAAGGAGAAAGACAGTTCCATAATGTAATGGGCAGAAATAAGAAATTTAAGGAACAGGAGAAAAAGCTACAGCAATACAATGATCAGATAAAATAAATCTTGAGTCCAGAGAACAGAAATGTAATTAGCAAAAATGTCTGGGACATGACTCTCTCTAGTTCTCATGAAGGGAGGGAGTGCGGAAGTGCATTGAGACTTGCATGGTAGCCCTCTAAGGTAGATCAAACCTGGTACTAAAGACACACTGTTTTTCTGATTAAGTCACCGTAACAGAATCTTGTAGAAGTGGCTGATGACCCTGAGAAGCCCTGACTAGCCAGGACTGACATGGGTCTACAGTTTCACTTTTCTCTCTGATGTAAAGAAAAGAAAATATTCAATGAAACCTATGTGTCATAAAAATAATAAAATTACAACTCTTAAAACTAACTTGTCCACTATGCAAAATCTAGGTTTATCATTGAGAGATGGCAATGTATTGACTCTGGGATAGGCACAACATAAACTTCAACAGTCTGGAAAATAAGATTAACAGTTGGAAGAAGAAAACTATTTTAAAGTTGGATGTTTTTCTTTTTGTACTTTGATGAATTACATAGATAAGACTTCCTATATATACCATTATACACTTCCTTTTGTTTTGCATAATCGGTGCTTAATTCTTCTAATTCTTTTTGTAATTCTTCTGCAAGGGGAACATTCTTTTGTAGTTTTTCTTCAATTTCTTCCACACGTTTTGTTTTAGAGTCATATTCTTCCTTTTAGGAAAGAAAACATAATGAACAATTTATACATAGTGTGGTACTGTAATGAGCATCCTAGTATTCTAACATAATACAACAACTGATTAATATTTACTCTGTCTATCAACTGATTGACTGATTAGATTTAGAAACTACCCAACGGCAGGTTGATTCTGGGTGGCTTATGCTTGAAATAGGAAAACAATAAAAAGAACCTAGCCAACCACCTTAGGACTCCATATATACTTTATCCTAAAAGGAACATAATCAAGTTTTTGAAAACTTGAGGAACGTCATGAGGATGGGATATACAGATTGCTGGGTATATTATTTCTAAGGGTAGGCATCGCAACAGAAAAGGCATGCCTTTGAGGGAATCCAACAAAAATTCTATTATTAATATTTATTAATTACAGTATATGTTAATTAATAAATACATTAATAAATATATTAATTTATACAGTATATGTTGACTCCCAGAAACTCTGAGCAGTTTACAAATGATTTAAAACAGGAAAACAAGACTAAAAAATCCACCAATTTTGATTTTACTAGACAGGCAGAGACCATAGGAAACAGGCACTCCCTTCAGATAACCTGGCTCTCTGATGTAATTGATAAGCAGCACTTTGAAATGCAGCTGGAAGCCTATTGGTGTGCAATGCAATCACCTGTGAAGTGAATTCCAGCCTGCAGAACAGTGCTAGATTCAGAATCCTTGGAATGCTCAATATGATTACCTAGATTTCATTACTGTTTCTTCTTCCAGAAGATGTCTTGGATACAACCCCAACAAGGCACTTCTTCACTTCTCTACCTAGAAGCACTAGTAGCTTCCTCACCTGTCACCAGGTTTAACATTCCCCTATCCACAAGCAAATCCTTGTCTTCTAAAAATCTCTTACTTGACCAGTCAAATTTCTCCTGCTATCTTAACACCAATTTGATTTTTTCCCCCTCATTGACCCCACTGTCTCTCCATTCCATTCCTTGCTGGCTACAAATCTGAGTCAGTTATTATGCTTGACTGGTGTACTGGGAAATGAAACAGAAAACAAGCAGTTGTTTCTGACTTATATGTTAGAGAAATAATCTGGATTTGAAATGAAACAGAAAAAAACTAAAGTCATTCAAAATCCATTTGTACCATTTGTGCTTATATCTGAATAAAGCAAACTGATTAAAGTAAATAAATTACAGCTATTTGTTATTCTGATTTCTATCTAACTTTAGTAGCTCTTTATACCTTCTTTTCTCTAGTTCTCTCTCCAGTTATTTTGAGTTTAGCGTCAACTTTGGCATTCAAGAAATGCATGGCTTTTACTTTAAAGTTTTTATCTAAAGGAAGCCTCACATCAAAGTGCATCAGAAAACTGAATTTGTCTTCTCCTAGCAGTCCACAGCAACCAACTCAAGTCACTTCAGTAACTTAGAATCAATGCAAACTCTTGATTCACAAGTGTATTCTCCCACCACCTTTTTTAGCAATCTGACTTTTTAAAAACTACTTCTATTCCCTTTTGATTCTAAATGGGCTGGATACTTATGTATTTATAGTCAAATGTATTTCATAACATAAGACAGCTACAAAAATGTGTTAAAATAGAGGTTGCTTGCCTCGATTTCTCCGATTTCTGTTGTTAACTTAGCTTCATGTTTCTTATAATAGGCTGTTTTTTTTTGCAGCTTGGAAGTGAGATGTTTCAGACGCTCAGTATACTTCTTTATTTCTTTATCGAGACGGTCATTCTATTTGTAGAAAATATGAGAAAGAGGCAACATAAATTTGTTCTAATTACTTGCAAGTGTACATGAATGTGCAGATGTTGAGATTTCAGCTCGGTTTGGCATTTATGGAAACAATATTTAATAAGAGATTTTTCTGCTATGAATTCTGTTCTGTGTTTCAGTTTTCATTTCAATTATCAAATATTGAGAAAGAATATACTCTAATTCTAATGTACAAACTGAAGTACTTTGTTTGTGTCATCATGGCTGTCCGGTGCCAGATATTTCTATAGGGATGCTGGCATTTTGGGGGGAGGAATGGAGTTGTCTGTATATGAAGTTTCTGTTCCCTGCAGCATTGTGCTAATCTCTATATGAAGGTTCTTTTTCTTGTATTACTGTATTAATCTCTATATGACGTCTCTATTTCTGTTTCCCTGCAATGATGTAGTGTGGAAGGGGTTTGGTTAGCATTGCTTTAAATGGCTGGTTTTAAGTGAGAAGCTTTAGTTCTTGCCTAGATCTCGTTATCACAAACCTTCCAATAAAAGCTCCTTTTAGAACTTCTGCAGTTTCAAGAGTCCTGCTTTCTTGGGAAGATTGGAGAGGCAAGACCTTACAATGGGATTAAGTTTTTGTTCAGGCATATTCAGGAGCCTAGCAAACAATTTGAAATGAAGACAGGCATCAGAAGGGGAGCAAAGCGTACTTCTCAGATGGCTATCCCTGAGAAAGTAGAGCTCTTCACTGATTCAAATGGAAGATAATTTTGTCTCTTCATTCCCTAAACTATTTTCATTCAACTTAAGGGTTGAGCAGACTTGCACTGCATGCCAAGGAATGTATATGTCTGTCAATCAGGGATGGTTTCATTTATATTACTGCAAATGTAATATTCTGGCTAGGAGACATTCAAATAGCAAAACACAGAACAGGAAGTGAGTGGATCAACCAATCAGCTCACAGGACATGCACCTCCGCACTTTGGGGTTTGGGTGGTGTGCGCATCAGGCCATCTGCAACCTATGCTTACTCATCAACTCATTCACAGTGTAGGTATGAGGTGACCCCTACATGCAGTTGCAAGCAACTCTAAATCAAATTTTAGGTTTTTTTATATCAGAAATCAAACATCCAAATGCTGCAAACTAGCATTACAGATAAAGTACAGAGGGGGATACAGCTATAATCTTGTCTACCTCTCCCTTTGTTCCAAATGTTTTTTAAATGTTAGGATCTATTTTTTCCCCTGTTCATTGGCTTATACATTAAGTCCTTTGATTACTCTCCACAGGATCCAAAATCAATCCTGACCCTTCCCTGAAATCCTTTCTTGTGTGCTACACTGATAAATGTGATTCTAACCTTTCATCCACAGGTTTTTTTCAACCCTGCATAAACACAAGGTACTCTCTACAGACAAAGGGGTGGGGGTGGGTATTTCCTAGTACCATTCAGTGAGCAACACTGAAATGAGAGAGGATACAAGATTCCATTTTATGAATGAAAGAGCTCCAAAATGCCACATCTGTAGAAAATCTATATATATTACAGTGTGATTTGGTGTCAGTACCCTAATAGGTATTATACCTCCTTTTTTAACTTGTTATAGGATTTTTTCATAGTTTCAAGGGTTTGCTTTGACTCGCTCAGAAATAGTTCATTGGCTTCCAGTAAATTTTCATATAAGGCTGTAATTTTGTCAAGTTCAATCTGAAGCATTTCTCTAGTAGCAAAGGAGAAAAAAAATCATAATTACTGAATAAATGAAAAGAGACAGTGACATCATGTTAACAATAGGTCAATAGTGAGCAAAACGTTTTCATTATTCTTTTCGCAGGGAAGAAAGAAGTGTATTAGAAATGCTATCAGAATGGTACACACACTCCACCTTGCCTTAAGCTCATGGAGCAGAAATTCAGATGTTGTATTATGCCATTCGCCCATATATGGGATTTTATATGATTTTTGCAGTGTATGTCTTGAATAATAGTAGTACAGGTAGTCTTCGACTTACAACAGTTCATTTAGTGACCATTCAAAGTTACAACAGCACTGACAAAGTGACTTATGACCTTTTTTCACACTTACAACTTGTGTAGCATCATCATGATCATGTGATCAAAATCCAGATGCTTGGCAACTGACTCATACTTATGACCGTCCCCTTTTGCGACTTTTTGACAACAAAATCAATGGGGGAGCCAGATTCACTTAACGGTGTTATTAGCTTAACAACTTCAGTGATTCACTTAACAACTTTGGCAAGAAATGTCGTAAAATGGGGCAAAACTCACTTAACAAATGTCTCACTTAACAACATAAATTTTGAGCTCAACTGTGATTGTAAGTCAAGAAAGACCGTTGGCTTACCTGAACGGTCGTTCTCGGGGCACTGCGAGGAGAGTCCAATGCTGGGTTAACACAGCCTATCTGCCCTTGGACTGAGTAACGTTTTTTAGTTGGCCACGCCTCCCTT